TACTGTCTATCACCGTCATTAACATCGTTAGTGTTGGATTCTCATCTTAACAGGGGTAATCTTTCCTATCTCGTTGTTATTTTTTGTAAAAAAAAGGTTGATGTTGTGTGGTTTCCGAGATTTGAATGGGTTTTAATTCGAAATAACACATTTTAGAGGAATTTCTAGTGTTTGCATGGTTTAAAAGGAATATTAGAAGAAGAACAGAGGAAGAACATGACTAAAAATATGGGTTTTGATCATGGGGTAAGTATGTTTTATGGAAGATAAGTGTTAGTAAGAACAAAGGAAAAAGAAAGGGAGAGAAGACGAGGGGAGATTAAAATACTTAGTATAATTAGAATACGAGTCCTTGGATTATTACGTATTTATAGAGTCGCCCCCATGATTTTATTTGATTTTGATCATTTCTTGTACATTAATGAATTTTACTAATATCTATGATTTGGGTTTTAAACTTGTTTTTAATTAATATTTTAGTCCCTAATAGGAATAAGTAGATCATAGATTTAATCGTTGAACTCAGGTTCCTTTAAATTTAGTCCTTGGACTTTTTCATCTTACGTGAAATTTTGATTTAACCCTCGCCTTAATGCCCGATGGTCGATTTCGATTATTTGATGTAATAATTGGTTAAAATGAATTAGGTTTAATATCAGTGCCTACATATTTAAATTTAGTCACCTAGATTCTTTAAATTTCATAATTTGATACTTTAAGTTAGAGATATACCTTAATTAACTCACTTAGTATACTCAAGCTTAATAATTGATTGTTTGATTGCATGACTCGGGTTTTCCAAAGAAACAAGGCAATGTTCATTTATTAGGGGTTAATATTGTACTTCCGCGTATGCCCGGGGGTAGCCACTGTTAGTCCTCGAAGTAAATCCACATCATTTTAAAAATCTTGCATCATGATTTCTAAATCATCAAGGCAATATACATTTATTGAGATCGATAACGAAGCTTTCGCTTGTGCTCGGGTGGTCATTATTGGTCTTAGTAAATCAACATCTTTTTCAAAATTTGCACACATAATTGAGTTTAAATTAAATAAAATTTTGATCAATTTTTAAAACATAGGGTAATCGACTAGGTACCAATTTTTGGACATTGTGGGGGTGTTAATCATTTTCCACGCGTAATTAACTCCTGAACCCGATTTCTTATTTTCGTAGACCAAAATTTGATATTTTTTATAAAAATAAAATTTATTAATTTACCTAATTTTAATTGTTCTAATCGCACTTTAAAATAATTGGTGGTAACTCCCATCTTTTCATCAAATCGCTTTAAAAAAAAACAAAACTTCATCATCGTAACTAGTCGGGTTTTTCCCCAAGGGCCGGTTGAAACAATTATGATTTTAATATTGATGGAATTTACATTCTTTGCTCAGAAAAGCAAGAAATTCGTGATCTTTTTCGTTTTCTTTCGAGTGTGTGTAGTTTTGACTAATTCGTTTGAGTGGATATATAGGGATGGTAACGGGTAAGGTTAGGATTGAGTTTTTGGTTAACCTGATTTTAAAAATATGTATTTTTCATCAGAATACGATCCAATCTGAAAATTTTATAACCTTCACTCGATTCGATCCTACCAGAATTTTTATACTATAAAGTCGACCCGACCCGACTCAACCCGACTCGATAAAAAATAAGGATTTAATTAAAAAGATTATAATTTTTTAAAGAAAATTACATTATTATCTTCGGGTCGGAGTTTTTTCACCCACCACCTGAACCCGACTCGACCCGATCTCGCCCCTTAAAAAATCAATTCGACCAGACTCAAACCCGATTTTTAAAAAAAAAATACGACCCTTTCAGGTGAGATCAGGTTGGAACACATTAGATTCAGGTTAAATTGTCATCTCGTATATATATAAAGAAATTAAAGATAATTTCAGAAGATTCAAACTATTGTGATTGAGCTAATGAAACAAATAAAGGATATTTTAAAATTGAAATTCAGGGGCAAACAATTCAACAGGGAGGTCAAGTAAATAGTGCACATTGTATAGAATTGGAGTTACACTCGTAAGGTTGTATAGACTGTTGATATAGTTTTGCATTTGATATGTTAACTTTATTTTAGTGTAAATTTATAGTACAGTTTTGATTTTTTAGATAATTATTAATAGTTAAATAAATTTATTTAAATTTTTATAATAGAAAATTACTAATTCACTTAAATAGTTTAAAAACTATATCAAATACAAATAAAGTGGATCAAAATATAGGATAATGTGAGAAATTGTGAAACTACAAAGAGTCGGTCTGATGAGTAAGATATCATTTGTTAGAATCAAATTATAATAAATATGAAATACAATCAAAATTTATTATGTAAAATTATCAAAAACAAGTCAATGAGTTTTGGCACAAGTGGTTGGGATTCAGGAATTTGAGCTTGTAAGGACAAGTTTGAATCCTACCATCGTTACTCTTGATGGGCAATCTATATTAGATTGGAGGAGTCATCCCTGACCTAAACTTTTATCAATTGGATCTTAGGTATACCCTGATCCTAGATTGGAGGAGTCATCCCTGACCTAAACTTTATCTGATGTACCCAAAAAAATTATCAAAAATAAAATATTAGATTTATAGAAACATATCTAAGTTTGTTGTTGGAATTAGTCTAGAAAAATAAGATCCTCCAAGAAAATAATTTTATATTTAGTAAAAAATCTGTACATGATAAAAAAAATTAACAATAATACAAATTAAATAATTTCTTTGGAAAACACAACCTTTTTATATAAATTGAATATTAAATTAATTTATATTTGATAATTATATCTCTCATCAAATTATTAATTCAACTAATAATTTACACTTTTAATTTCATAACATACAACATATTTTTTTTTGGATAATTCGTTATTTTATTTTCCAAGAACAGAATCTGTTACAAAAAAACATCATAGTTCATAAACAAAGATCAGCCTATACAAAAAGAATCAGATCATTCTATACCCCAATGCTCACATAGAGTAATATTAACACTATCATTCTTATTAATATTCTTATCACTCAATTGAAGTCTAACAGTATCCTTAATGGTAACGAAAAGATCTTGTAAGTTTCTGGATCGATCTTGAAACAATCGTTTGTTGCGTTCATCCCAAAGAGTATAGATCAGAGCTGTTAGTGCAAGTTTCATGATCAAAGTTAGAAGGGATTTTCCTTTCCAGTTAGTGTTTGCCCACATGATAAGATCTTCCCAAAAGCAAATATTGAATTGCAAGCCAGAGGAGGAGAAAACAGCAGTCTATAGCTGGTTAGCCATAGGACAATAGAAGAACAAATGCTCCCTTGTTTCACATGGATCATCACAGAGAAGGCATTTATGGTCACTAATAAGCCCCATATGGTAGAGTCTATCTCTAGTTGGTAGTCGATCAAGTAAAGCCATCCAAGTGATTAAACTAAATTTAGGAATGTATAGAGGGAACCAAATAATTTTTTGCCATGGAACTTGAGGTCTTCTATCACGAAAAGCGTCCCATATATCAGTAGTTTTCTCTGTTCCAGCAGTAAGAATGGGATAAGCCATAGCTCGTAGCTTGAAGATACGCTTTAGGCTCCAGCTGAAAGAAGAACAGATATCAACATTCCAAAAATCATTACCTTTGAGAATATTGTTATTTATCCAAGCCACCCATAATGACCCTTCTCCAACCAGAATTTTTTTAATAAGGAAAACCATAGAAGCTTTATTCCATGTTTTCAAGTCTTTAATTCCAAGGCCCCTTCTGATTTTAAGTGACAAACGTGCTGCCAACTCACCCTTGCACCGGTTGCAGATTTATCAACCCCTTTTCAGAAGAAGCGCAAACAAAGCTGCTCAACTTTGTTTAATACCGATTGAGGCAGAAAGATTTGCCTTTACGTGATTATCCGCTAAAGCTTTCTTCCAAAGATTCTCCACAATCCACTGCATAGAAGCAAATATGGGTGTTACACCAAGAAATTGACCCACGAACGAGAGATTCCATTCGGAAATTCCATATTTAAGGACCTCTGGAGGAGGATGAACCACTGTGGAACCATCGCGAGCAATAGGAGGAAAGTAGTCTAAGCCTTGACCCACTGTGCACCCAAAAAGATATCTCCAATTCATTGGGTCTTCGCTCAAGGATGAAATTAGGATCGGAATAACAAAAGGTAAAAAGAAAAACACCAAAAGAGGAACGGAGGTGCTGAAACGCGACAGAGATCCTCAGATTCGTTAGGCCAGCTAACGTGCACCAGAGAAACCTTATCGTGCACCTCGAGATAAAACTTTTTATACAACATAATTGATCACTTAATTTTTTCATCATACTCTATAATAACAATATATATATATATATATATATTCATAATTATATATTTTAATCCAACAAAAAAATTAATTTTTTTCTGTAAAATCTAAACTCTAACATCAACTAATAACGTGTATTGAGCTGTAATGACTCGGCAATTTCTTTAAATAAATAACAAAAACAACTCACCAATTTCCGTATAACCTCCCCACTCAAACGCACGTTCTTTATTTTATTTATTGGGTAAACTATGTTTAGTACTTAAATTATTATTTTTATTCCATTTTCGTCACACAATTATATTTTATTTTAAAATCATATTTAATGTTATAATTTGGTCGCCTACCATTAAAAAAATTAACAATAGTAATGACGTGACATCATAAGATAATGTCATTTCATCATTTATTTTTTTAAAGAATGTCGTGTCAGTAGTTCTGTTAATTTTTAACGGCGGACGATCAAAATAAAACCAAAACATAATTTAAGTATAATTTAAAAAAATAATAGTTGAGTGACAAAAACTAAACAAGAGTAATACTTGAGAACTAAACATGTATACTACCCTTATTTTGTTATAACCACAAATCTCCATTCCAGCCTTACGTTAAACGTGACTTGGGTCACCCAACCCACCTCCATCCTCTCTATATAATTAATCCAAGATTCCCGTATACCTCCTCGAGTTTCTAAAAGCCAAAAAAAAAAACAAAGGAAAATCAAATCATTTGTTCATCAATGAATCAACTTCCAAAATGCGGAGCAAATTATGTGCCGCTAACTCCCTTGACTTTCCTGAAAAGGGCCAGCTCCGTTTACGCTAATCGAACTTCGATCATCTTCGAGAGCACTCGTTTCACTTGGAGCCAAACCTACCAGCGTTGCCGTCGTCTCGCTTCCTCTCTCCTCTCTCTTAATATCCACAAGAACGACGTTGTCAGTTCCTTCCTTTAATTCAGTCTATCATTAATTCATATATGTTTTCATTAGATTTTAACATTTATGACAAAATGAAACGTATGACATATATTTGCAGGTATCTGTTCTTGCTCCCAATGTTCCGGCCATGTACGAGATGCATTTTTCTGTTCCCATGGCCGGAGCGGTGCTCAACACTCTTAATGCCAGGCTCGATGCGAAGAACGTCGCCACCCTTCTTCGACACTCCGAGGCCAAGGTGTTCTTCGTCGATTATCAATATGTTCCGGTGGCGCGGGAAGCTCTTCGGTTGTTGATGGACGAGTCTCAACAAAATCAGGCTTTGCTTCCATTGGCGATTGTCATAGATGACATAGACTCACCTACTGGTGTCCGGCTTGGCGAGTTGGAATATGAGCAGTTGATCCAAATGGGTGATCCAAAATTCGTCCCGGATGAAATTCAAGATGAGTGGGATCCTATTTCGCTCAACTACACGTCCGGAACCACATCGAAACCGAAAGGAGTTGTTTATAGCCATAGAGGTGCATATCTAAGTACTTTAAGTCTGATTTTGGGTTGGGAAATGGGAGTTGAGCCTGTGTATCTATGGTCCCTCCCGATGTTTCATTGCAACGGGTGGACCTTCACTTGGGGAATCGCCGCACGCGGTGGGACGAACGTATGTATGCGAAACATCACTGCGTATGACATGTACCGTAACATCACTTCTCACAGAGTAACGCACATGTGTTGCGCGCCAATCATCTTCAACATCCTCATCGAGGCCAAACCGCACGAGCGTGGCGAGATTTCCTCTCCCGTGCAAGTACTCACCGGTGGCGCACCCCCTCCGGCGTCGCTCCTCGAGAAAATGGAATCCCTCGGATTCCATGTCACACATGCTTATGGCCTAACCGAGGCCACCGGCCCGGCCCTGGTGTGCGAGTGGCAAGCCAAGTGGAACAATCTCCCGCCCGATAGCCAGGCAAGACTCAAAGCACGGCAAGGGATCAGCATATTGACATTAGCGGATGTCGATGTGAAGAACATCGAAACCATGGAAAGTGTACCCCATGACGGAAAAACAATGGGGGAGATTGTGCTTCGAGGAAGCAGCATCATGAAAGGGTATTTAAAAGACCCGGAGGCTACATCCAAGGCTTTTAAAAAGGGGTGGTTCATCACCGGAGACGTCGGAGTCATGCACGCCGATGGATACCTGGAAATTAAGGATAGATCAAAGGATGTCATCATTTCTGGCGGCGAAAATATCAGCAGTGTCGAGTTGGAATCGGTTCTTTACAGGCATCCAAGAGTCCTGGAGGCGGCAGTGGTGGCGATGCCTCACCCACGGTGGGGGGAGAGTCCTTGTGCTTTTCTAGCAGTAAAAGAGAACGAATGCGGGCGGAAAGACGACGTGACGGAAGCCGATATCATTACTTACTGCCGTAAAAATCTTCCTCATTTTATGGTTCCAAAGAAGGTAGAATTTGTACCCAAATTGCCCAAAACTTCAACGGGGAAAATCCAGAAGTTTCAACTAAGAGCTTTGGCCAAGACCTTCCAGATTACAGAGACCAAATCTACTGAAGTCAACAACGATGTTCCTCAACAACATTACGACCAGATTCTTGCTTTGTCCCGCCTTTGAATGTCGAATAAATTACATACATGCTTGTTTGTTTGTTGATGTGGCGTGATTGGAGAAAAATAATGCTCAATTATGGCTGACAATGTGCAATATATAATGCTGCTGGATGAGTGAAATGTAAGGGCAAAGTGCCCCTCTTCAAAAATTATTTGTTGCTTAAAGTTAACAAAGCCTTGATTTATGTGATTCAATCACCTTTTTTTGTCCTTCAGGTTCTAAAATTTTGCATGTACTGATCTAAATCAACTCGCATCACACATATAATTTTAGTAGATGAATTTTTTACATACACAAATTCTTAAACATAAAGTCTTAATTAAGTGCGAAACTAAGCTACTTGTCACTTGACCCTATTAATTATTATCCAATCACTTTAGTTTATACCTTGGATGTGAGTTGTGACATTGCAATCTGCGGGATAGTTTCTTTTAACTTTTATATATATATATAAACTTATCAAGAAAAATTTTAATAGTAAAAACTAATATTTTTTATTATAAATTTTAAATTCAAGTAGTTATATATGTAGGTTATATATCCATAATCAATAAGTTTTTTTTGAATAAATGTTAACATTAATTTAAAAAATCTTTATTATTATCTTCAACCAAATTCAAAATTAATAATGTCTTTTCATAAACAATATGGTCAATAGCCTACCCTCATCCTCACTCGCTCTTCTCCCAAAAACTCTTCAGACTTTTTCTCTGATGTTGACATAAAGATTCTTTCTAATTTGAATTTTATTAAAATTTTATAAATTAAAATTAAAAATTAAACTACAAAAAAGTCAAATCGACTGAATGATTGTACTTTAAATATCATGAGATGAATTGGATGCATATCCTTACTTTTTTATACTGTGTATAATGTATATAAAAATTAAATAAACTTAAAATGTAAAAATATAATATAGAAAATATAAAATTCAAATTTAAAATTATGTCAAAATATGTCGTATGTTTAGATATTCACACCGAAAACTCAACATTTAAAAATTAGATATTTATTTTTTAGTTTAAATATAAATCGTTATTTCCTTATTCAAAATATATATATCTATTTTTTTTATCAAATTATACATGAATTCAAAAATATATAATCCTAAATGAAATATTTTAATCTTTAAGCCAAGTAAGCACAAATATCAAATAATTGAAATTTTATATATCACACATATTTAATAGATAAAAAATATGACAATATTACATATTTATTATAAATAAAGTAATGATATATTTTATCTGATAATTTAATATCAACATACTAATAATTATACATTCTTTTATTATTTAATTCGATTTTATGTTAACAAAGCAGCCCGTCAGATTATTTGATTCGCTTTTCACTCTTTTATCACTTCGTCAAGTATCTAATTTGACAGAGACAATGAATTTTTATAAAGATTATTGAGTTTTGATGTTGGTTGTCACTCTCAATGGAAGGTTTTAATTTTCTTCATATCTTTAGTTTTATTTTTTACTTTTGTATGCGTATTTTTATTAATGTTGTCTCTAAATTTCCTCTATATTTTGATGAATTACAATTTTGATTCCTTTCATTATTAATAAAATTTAATTACTATTGTTAAAAAACTAATATTGTTTAACTACTTAAATATTTGCAACCATGCGTAAATAATTAATATTTCAACGATAACTTTTATGTTAACGTACCTACGTTCAAGGTGAGTTTCAAAGAGTCAGCAACAACTTTTATAATTTTTTACCGACAAGTACTGATTACAGTTGAGGGATCAGTCAGAATATAAATAAGAATGTGTGTCAATTTATTTAAAAAATGAAGGAATTATTTATAAAATTATATTTTGACCCTTATGAAAATGTTAATCCAATCCAATCCTCTTAATATAAAACTCTAAGAATACTCACCACCTTAGATTCAAAAGTATAAATGACATGTATGATAATAAATTATATATGAAACGCATATTGTGTATAGTATTTAAACTATAAAAAAAGACATTATAAAAATAAATAAAATTTTAGCCTATAATTATGCCTTTGTACGATTTATTAAGAACTTTGTTTTATTTAATACTAAAACTATTTTTGTTTAGGTCTCGACACTGATGTTTGATCTGTAAAATAAATAGGGGTGTGCATTATCGAATATCGGATATTATCCGATCCAAATTTTCGGATATCTGAAAATTTTTGGATACCTAAAGTAATGATCCGTATCCGATCTGAAAAAATTGAATATCCGAAAATTCGGATATCTGAAATTTCGGATCGAATATCCGAATATCCGGATCCGATTTTTTTTGGCAAAAAAATTCAAAAAAAAAGTAACAGGAATTAAAATATTCATATTTACTTTTTTTTTTATCGACAAAAGATTTTTTTGCTCTGAATTTTGTTTTTCCCTCATCAGACTCCATTAAACAAATAATAAAATATATTACAATAAAATATATTAAGTAAACAAGCAATAAAATAACCGATACATACAACTATTATATCAATTAAAGAATACTCTTCGAAGTATCCCACGTAAGACATTCTTTAATCCCTAATAAGTTTCAAAGACATTGTTGATTTATTCAACTGACAACAGAAGTAATCGCAGATGATGCTTTGTTAACCCCAAAACCAGACATGGAATACTGTCATGTTTGGTGAAGATGAGTGACATCACCCCAAGCTTTTATGGTCCACACACCATCACCAAATATATGAAATATGTTCACAGAAGTATTTAGTATACTTCCCCGGAACCTTGTCGAGCAAGCCCGCCTATATAGTGCCCTTATGACACCTCCATGAGTCACCACGACGACTCGCTTTCCTAACATATTGGGAAACAGGCAACAATTCAGAATATTCGAACCAGAAACATGTCCTGTCGGGTAAAACTTGGACGGATTGTTAAAAAATGACAGTATATACCTGTGTTTCTGACTAATTCTCTGTAATGAAGATGTAGCACGATGATAGAGCTGGTCTAAGCTTTCTCCACCTCTCTGCACGCATAGTGAAAACCAGATCGAGTAAACTAGTATGTTGAAACCAGAACGAGCATGTTTAATGGATATAAAGAAAATATCCCTAATTTTTTTCGGGTTTTCGGATAATCCGAAAATGGTTTTTTACCGATATGTATCCGATCCGATAATCCGAAAAATTTTTCGGATACCCGATCCGAATTATCCGAAAATTGAAAAACGGATCGGATATCCGAATTTTCGGATCGGATCAACAGATCGGTCGGATTGGATTTTTTTGCACACCCCTAAAAACAAGAAAAGATATGTGAAAATGTGGTCTAAAATGTTTTGGAATCAGGGCCGGTCCAATGAGTTTTAATGCCCTGAGCAAGATAATAATTTTATGCCCCTATACTTGTACCGTATAATAGACAAAACATAAATATTTTTTTAAAACAAAAATATAATAGAAATTATAATCAAAGAATATCAATACTAATACAAACCAAAACCTACAAGGCTACAAATATTACCTAAAACAATGACTTCGTTTATTTTTTGAAGCAAAAACCTCTATTATTTTACGATAATCAATACTTTGTAAAAATTGACTTTCGATGCTTAAAATAGTTAATCCGTTCAATCTATCTTGAGTCATCGTGCTTCGAAGATAGGATTTCAAGAGCTTCAATTTTGAAAAACTTCTTTCCGCAGAAGCAACCGTAACCGGTAGCGTCAACAAAAATTTATATGCTATCAACACATTAGGGAACATATTCATTCTTCTTGCAAACTCCATTATTTGAATAGATGTCCATGGACTTTCACCTTTGTGTGTTTCATCCGACAACATTTTCTGCAAAATTTTTAACTCCATAAATAAATCTTTTCCATCAATATCAAATTCTTCACCATTTGTCAAATTGGACTCAAGATTTAAACAACATTTTTTTAGTTCGTCATCAAGTAATGAAATTAACTTTGAACCATCAAACAAAAAACCAAATATAGACTCGAAATGTTACATTTGTTCAGATATACTTTTCAATTGAACAAGAGTCATATCTACAAGAATAATAAATTAATCCTTTCGAAATGCTTCTTGAGAAGATTATTGTTCTCTTTCGGTATTTGGAATTTCATCAAATTGTTTTTTTCTATAAGAAATACATTTTTTAGGAAATTGAGGTTCAACCCCAATATTATATGCTATTTCTTTAGCTTCATTAATAGCATTGTCAAACCCAATTTCCCTATATTCTTCAAAGTAATTAACCCATCTAAGTTTTTAACCGCAACATCAAGAAGCATATCTTTGGATTATAATTTCTTACTAATCAAATTAATTCTAAACAAAATTTCATGTCATATAACTAAACTTAAAATAAATTCAAAACTAGAAAGTTCACCATTTACTAGTGATTCGACATCTCGACACACTTTTCAATCATCACTAATTTCGGCTAATCTTATTAAAGCTTCTCTTATTTGAGAAGATTGTGCTTTTATTACTTTAACACTTTCAATATGACTTTCCCAACGAGTAGCGGATAATGATTTAAGTGTTAGTTCATTTATAAATTCAAGTAAAACACTCCATCTCTTTGTGGAACAAGAAAAAACATTATAAATTGTTTGACATGTACCAAAAAACGTTTTTGCCTTGTGGCAAGAATTTGTCATATCACACAAAACTAAATTTAAACTATGACACCCACAAGGCATATAAAAAGCTCTACGATTTATATCAAGCAACCGTTTTTGTACACCATTGTGTTTTCCTTTCATATTAGCTCCATTATCATACCCTTGATCACGAACATAATTAATATCCAAATCAAGAGATTTTAGAGCATCTTGTAAAATATTAAAAAGTTTTAGACCGGATGTTTCTTCTCAATTAAAAACTCTAAAAAAAATTCTTCTACTTTTATTGGAACACTTGTCAAATCCACAAATCTTATAATTAAATTCATTTGTTCTTTGTGACTTGCATCCGAAGTTCAATCAAGAATTATAGAAAAATATTTTGCATCTTTAATTTTTTTAATAATTGCACTTTTTACGTCCGATGCCAACATTTCGATTAATTCATTTTGAATTTTATGACTAAGATAATGATTATGTGTTTCTTTGTCT